CTTTCACATGAATAATGTATGCCATTATGACATAATCGTTTAAATCTGTCAAAAACTTGATCCATCAAATAATAAGTTTTTTGACCGAAAGCACATATTTCATATTAAAATATCGTAATCTCGCAATTATTATAAATTCCACGATTGAACGATTAAATTTATATACTATTATTTGTTTATCGCTGAATTACGCGACAGCAAACATAAAACGTTTTCGCAAAAGTCTTCAAGAAAATCTACAGGATTACACTCTATTCAGAGTATTATATTACATACTTTATTGTTAGACACGATAATAATCTTGTTGCATCGCGCTTGCTATATTCATCGAATGATCGTATATGTACTTATTTATCGTCTGTCGGGGGTTTTAGCCATCATCGCCAATCGTATCTGTCTTGACGATAGGAGATACGCTGGCTCTAACAACCGTTAATTAAAATCGATTCCTGCCCCCCATTCACGCCGATAAATAGCCGTTTAACGCAATTACATACATTATTGCGACGAGATTGTAATCGGAGGTCGTGGGCGAAATTTTAGGCAGACCGAGCGAGGCGGCCGGGGAAATGCCATCTGGATTAATGTTAATGGTAATCGTAATATCATGTTAAAGGTGAGTCAGTGAAAGCTAATCATCGGTCTCCCGTCTATTGCATAACGCGAGAACGAGCGAGCGAGCGCATCTCTCGAGACTCCACGATTTATCCGCGAGATGGAAATAACGGGGTATAGAATTTAGTGACTCTTTCTATGACTTGATAGAGTCTGCAAATGTGAGACAGATAGGTCATAAAGTTATAAGATTCAGAAGCGTGGACGCAGAGAGTCTTGAGACTAAAAGCTCGTTAAATTTTATTTCTCGCACGAAACGATCGCGCGATAATCATTGACAATTAGTTCTCGCGATTGCACGACCGATACACGTCGGGCACGTCCTGCATTTACAATATAAACGACCATCGGAACGTAAATTGCATTTGCAAATCAAACAGAGCAGTTAATCGAAAGGTCAATCGTTTCATTTTTCGATATTAATTGACGCTAATTGCAACACATACGATTGAAACTATATTGCTGGTATTTCTGGGGATCACTGGCTATAAATGAGCCATAAATTTGGCAATCCCGTTGTGATTTACAAAGCCGATATCGAATTACGTGATATCGCGCGTGTAAATTGGCGCGCGTCGCGCAAGTCATGTAAACTTAAAGGTCATTTGAACTATTTAATGATGGATTCGCGCGACGCAAAAGTGAAGTATTGTTGAAAATTATAATCGACAGTTGATAGTTAGTTATTACTAGCTGACAGTTATTAATGACGATAGTTAGTTATCGCGACTAAATAGTCGGGTTTCGCGCTTCGTGCGTTCTCGTGACATGACCAAGGTGCATCGCTCATACGTGTGAAATTTTCAATCTGTCAATTATTTTTTAGACAAAACATAAAAATCGAATAATTATACAATTTATATTTGGATAACTTGAAAAGTATGTATTTTTAAATGGCTTTAATATTACAATATTTCTAAAATGTTGTCGTTAAACGAAATTTGTAACAATAACGAATAACGAGTTAAAGGTTACGCACGTACGTGCAAACTATTACACGTGCTCCTCTCTAAATATTGAGGTCGAAAGATCGTCGCTTTCCATGTTGCAATTCTTAGATGTCCTGCATAAGTTCCAGAACGATGAATATATATTTAGATAGATAGATGAATTTCAATTATAACACACATATTATATAATATCATACAGCTACATTGGCACATCATTATGTAACCTGTTGAACATTCCAAGAATAAATTTGTCGTTGTCATCGATTAATTATGAAAATCTCCAAAAAGAGGTCGATTCGACAAATCTGTATTTAAGAAATATAATATACATATAAATATATCTATCTATTAATTAACTGACGAGAAATGCCTTTTAATCTTTTTTCGCAAGTTTGCATATATCATGGTTTTGATATTCGATCATTTTAAAATATTTACAATTAAACTTGCTGATTTATCATGCTGTAAACGAGCAATCTGAAAAAAATGGCGTAATACAAGTTAGTATTTCCATTGTTGTCGCAACGGCAGAATCGCGTGCGTGTGTGTCAAGTCGCGAGGAAGAGAGAGAGAGAGAGAGAGAAAGAGAGAGAGACGTAAAGAAAGACGCTCGCTCGCTAACGAGATTGTCGGACCCGACGACCGAAAGACCGACCGCGGGAAGAAGTGGACCGGGCCTCCGTAATCGGTAAGATCAGCAGAAGCGTTTTGGCGCGCGAGTCTCGCATCAGCGATATCGGTCAAGGAATTGGGCGCTTCTGGACCGGATGTACCCTGTCGCAAAGATCGCGATCACGCTACATCGTTTTGTCGCCGATCGTCTCGAGTCATCGCTTTTGCGCAAAACTCAACGCAATATATGCCGCTATTGTTCTGACAATACCGTTGCCGTCTTCTCGCTCTGTGTTGGAAAAATAGAAAAACTTGAACCGGGATTTACTAATATGCGATATAAGTTAAACGTAGAATTATACATTAATAAAAAAACAATTATATGGTATTTAATGATAGAATATTTTTCCATCTATCTATTTCGATTCGTAATACATTTAAATTTTTTCTCTGATTTCTTTTACTCGTTAGCCATGAAAATATTGTGAACACTGCAATATTCCGTATATGCAATACTTGGTACGTTTTTACAATTGCTCTTGTACTTCCGTGATAATCAACGGTAATATCAGCGTTCTTCTAGAGAAGGTTTGTTTGATATTCCTAACAACTAAAAAATTAGAGATAAATGATTATGCATATAGATAGGTAACCTAACAATAAAATTAAAAGCAGAAATATGTTATTAAAAATATAATTGAATAAATTTTAAACTAACTAAAAATATAAAACAAAAAATGAACAACAGATTATATACGCATGCATAGAACATTTTAAATGCGATTGTACATTAATAAAAATCTAAATATAGATACGCGGAAATAAAAAGCAGAGAATTAATAGGAAATTGCGAGGAAAGATTAAAATGTCCATTTCAACCGCGATCATGGGATGTTCGTGGTAGATGGATCTCGGTGATGACAGTTAAACACGAGTCTCCCGACATGAATTCCTTTCGCCGCTCGTCATCTATAACGAAAAGAAAGGAGGCGCTTCGAATGCCAGCGACAACAAACGTTTGTAATTCGTTCGCGCGATTGATCCGGGTAGCCGCTAAAGAAACAATCCCTAATAAGCACCTCGTCATCTGCCAACGATCGTAACCTCATGCTCGCAATCACGTCATGACATCATCGATGTAATGTATCGCGCACTACGACAAATCAGTGCGAAACGAGAAGCGCGGCTTCACCCTTCGTGCTGATTATCGGGGACCTTGAAGCTTTCATCGCAATGACAGACGGAATAAGAAGGAGGCGCACGAGAAGAGGTTTAATTGTGCTTAACACAATGAGACAAGATCGATGAAAGAAAGACGAAGACTTATAGCAAAAGATATTTAATAATATACGATTATCGCGATTGCTGTAATAAACGTTTCTAGGAAATACAAAAGATTCACATTATTTGATGAGAGATTGCGATTATTTGTCGTTGTCGCATCGTATAATGTTTAAGAAATTCGGCATTAAAAGTAAAAAAGAGATAATAAGAAAGGGTTGAGATGTTAATGTTGTTTAAAATCACGGAAATTGTACGATAATTCTGTACACCGTACCGGGAATATTAAGAAAAACTCGCAAATCAAAATCACACGTTATATCCCACGTGGTTACGACGTGTCAAAGATGCGGTAATAAAAATGAAGAAGGAACGTGAGAGATCTAACGGAAAATTAAGAAATTTAAATGCTAATACAATATCGTCATTTCAAATTTCAAAACTTCCGTGCCTTAAAACTTAATTGTGCCTCGTGAAATTAATGAAATCCCAAAAAGAGAAAGTTTTTCACAGTCCATCAAGGGGAAGAAAGTACTCGTCGATCGACTGACCTTTAAGTAGAACAAACTCGTTTTTCTCGTTCTCATAAATTTGAAACTCGCTCGGAAGATGCGAATTGTGAAGCGCACGACGCGGCGCAAGTAGATCACGACGGAATCGGAATCGGATTTCGCCCAAGGTGCACCCCCGGCTCCCGGCTCCCGGCTCCTGGGCGCGAGATCGTTCGGAATCGGCTCGATCGTTTTGACGAGGAGAGAAAGATCCCTTCCCCTCTGCCTCTCGATCACGAGGCTGCCTCCCATCCAGGACGGCTCCAGATCTGAGGCCTGCTCGCCTCGGGATGTACGAGACTCACTTGAACCCGGGATCTGACCTTTCTGGTTTTATTAGCCACGTCGGCTTAGGTATGCCTCGTCATCTCGGCGAGGCTCTCAGTGTTTCACAAAGCACGCGCGCGCTCGCGATGGAAGAGGCGCATACCTTCGGGGTCCTCCCAGCATCCTCCACCCGAGAATTATGCAAACCGATCCGCGCCTTGCGGTTCTCCGTCCGCTGCTGAAATTGTTCGCCGCTACATCGCCGTCGCCTCGAGACGCATTGATACGCACGCTGACGCGATTATTCCTCGCCTATTACTATCGCTCTATCGTCATCTACTAAACAAGGCGGATATTTCATCTCATTTTGAAATTTCGACCGATCTTTTCTGGAGATTTTGAAAGAGAGTGAGAGGCAAGGCCTTTTGCTGTTTCTTGAAATTACAGACGCGGAAAATACGGATGAAACCGTGATTTTATTTACAATACGTGGTCTGAACAGTATAGATACTTTAGGGCTTGCTTCAAATTTTCTCACTCAATATCTTATGTATGGTTTATAATTATCTACTATTATTATAATTTTAAGGTTTGATACAATAATAGCATAAAGCTCAAAAACTTAATATTTGTGCTTAATATTTCAGCTAATAAATATTTCAATATTTTAAATTTTTACATTATTATCCTAAAATATTATTTTTTTATTTACGCTCTTTTCGCAACCTCTATTCATTAACTTTTATTCCAAAACAGCGTAAATAAATTTTATCGACAATCGCTGTAATTCTTCTTTTAAGATATGCTTTTTCTTCAGTTTACGTTCACGTAAAACTTTTAAACAAGACGTTCGCATATTTGAAAACGATTTGGGAACATTAACATTGTAAAGGAAACGCAGACAGCACTTGCCGATCATGTCGAAATCTAATTAAATGTCTAGCGAGTTTGTTTGTATAAAAGACAACCTTGGAAAATATCCTACGTTACGGAGGCCGAGGAAACAATTATCAAATGACTCGAGTGATCTAATCGTGTTTAATGACGACCCGTTACGACTCTGACACCGCTACTTCATTCTCAGTAAAGATTAAGAATTAATATACACAATTGCAACGAGTTTATAATATATTCGTTGATGTTAAAAATCGAATGGTACATGAACATAATGTCCTAGGAAAATAAAATTCTACTCGCGTAAAACGAAGACAAATGAAGAGTACGAGAGACTTTAATGCTCGATAAGTCAGTACTCGTGATAACCGCCACTAATATCTCGGTTGTTATTAATCGTCGCCTGCGAGAGCAGCAGAGATATACACAAGTTTATGATTTTATGGATTCGGGATGCTGCGCACATATGCACGTGTTACGTGCACGTATGAGGAAAGAGCGGAGCAAAGTTCGAAAGACTCCTGTCTAGCGCGACGGGTGGCGGGTGACGAGTGTTTAATGAAAATTGCGAATACCACTTAAGGTGCCTTTACATGGCAGCATTAAGCGTCGAGCGTCTGCGCAGAAAAATGCGCAGAATTTAAAAGTACTCGACGACATTTCGCGGATACGCGTTATTTACCACAATGTACGCACGTATATCTCGGTGTGCACTGGTAAAAGAAAACGCTGGTAAACGCCAAGTTAAATGTGCCGTATTAACTTGGGGAAGTAGAATTTGCTTTATGCGCGCGTCACTTTGCAACAACGCTCTCGGGCTCTAATCGTAAGGACTGGGTAGGATTACCGGCTATATAATCCGACTCGGATTCCTGGATTCTCCACCATTCCT